TTACAACTTAAACAATCTATCTTAGAATTTTTTGTCAAATATAAGAATCACAAAGAAAGAGGTTAATTTTTATTTTATTTTATTTGTAATTCTTTACCAAATATAATTATTTTATTTTATTTGTAATTCTTTACCAAATATAATAATTTATTATGCATATATATANAACGAATGTAGGCTAAATATCATGATTCTTTCATAGGTCTTCTAATTAGAAACAAAATAAGACAATTGAAAGAACAAAGCAACAAAAGATGATATTCTAGAAAAAATATTGGCATCAAATTGAGATTATCCACAAGAAATTATTATTGATCATTAGGAGTACTGAATATACGTAATTTGATTTCTTATTTCTTGTGAAGATCGGGTATTCAATAACTAATGGTCAGTCACTGACCAATATTACCCTATCAATTTCGGTCTAACTTGACCACCAGGGTGTTAACTAAAAACAATTAGGTCTTAGTATTAAAAAAATAAAGAAGAGGGAGGAAGTAGAACAAAAATGACCGTGAAAATAATTCTTCTAGTGAGATTTTATGTTTTACGGGCAGGTTAATATTGGGTCAGGTAAGCCAGAAAATTGGGTATTTTTTAGGGGTATTTTTTAACCGATAAGTGGACGGTAAATATATTTAGCTCTTGGCCAATAGTTCATGGACAGTTTTGGCATTTCTTTATTTATTTAATTGGATTGGACCAGTAATAAAATGACACGTAAAATTTAAATAATTTTTTTAATTCAAGTTGATTGTTAGTCATAAGGAGAAATAAGCCGAAAAGATAACGGTAGAGGTATTTTTGGATCGATAAATGGATGGGGGATATACTTAGCCCTTGTTCAATAATTCAGGGGCAGTTTTGGCCTTTTGTTTTTACCTGTAATTGATTAGTGTTAAGTATTGTTAGATCAATTAAAACTTGGAGAACAAAATTAGATATTCAATTAAAGAAGTTTTGAGTTTAAAAATCGAAAATTTGATTCGATTCAGAGTGGGTGTTTTGGTGAACAATTGAGAATATCTTTGGCAGTTCATATGTCAAATTTGGGATGATTTGCAGTAGTTTAGACTTTATAGATAGTTTGAATGAATTAATTTTAAGTAAAATCCACCATAATTTTCGACGATATGAATATATATCTACTTATATTCCACTAGTATATCGGCGTATCCGGTATATACACACTTGTATTACCATGTATATCTTCCACATACATGTTATCTCTCTTATATATATCGGTATATGTTTTCTTCAAAAACATATATATTAGTATATTTCTATAAAAAAAATATGTGTGTAGCATATAGTGATAGGCCCGAAACAACTTCAGGCCTCTTTCTCCTCCTCCTCCTCCTTCTTCTTCGGGTGATATTATTCTTTCCTCTAGATGATAATATTATTCATATGGTACAAAGTGAGTCCCGAAACGGTTGTGTGGGTTTCCAACATGGACTACCCAATTCCATTTTTATCAACTGAATTTTTCGTTATCGCTATTGATGATGATAATCTCAAAGTGTTGGACTCGTCAAAGAACTCATATTTCTGAACACAAGTAGGCACAAGTGCATCTTCTTCACATAAAGCGAAACTCTTGAATTCAGGAAACTTGGCTTAATTGATGATATGTCAGGGAAGCCACTATGGCAAAGTTTTGATAAACCCACTGATACCTTCCTTCCTGGTATGAGGATGGACGACGGAAAGTTCAAGTTGACTGCTTGGAATATTACCCAAAAGGACCCAAGCACTGAAGTGCATCCTCTAGGAGCTGAAATTCAGCAAATACTAAATAAACTTCAGCTCCTAAAATGCTGAAGTTCAGCAGATACTAAACAAATTTCAGCTCCTAAAATGCTGAAGTTCAGCAATTACAAAATAAAAATTTCAGCCAAAATTGCTGAAGTTCAACAATTATTAAACTGAAGTGCATCCTCTAGGAGCTGAAGTTCAGCAAATACTAAACAAACTTCGGCTCCTAAAATGCTGAGGTTCAGCAGATACTAAACAAACTTTAGCTCCTAGAATGCTGAAGTTCAGCAATTACAAAATAAAAACTTTAGCCAAAATTGCTGAAGTTCAGCAATTATTGAACTGAAGTGCATCCTCTAGGAGCTGAAGTTCAGCAAATACTAAACAAATTTCAGCTCCTAAAATGCTGAAGTTCAACAGATACTAAACAAACTTCAGCTCCTAGAATGCTGAAGTTCAGCAATTACAAAACAAAAATTTCAGCCAAAATTGCTGAAGTTCAGCAATTATTGAACTGAAGTTTTTCATTGTACTATGAACTGAAGTTTGCGCGATTGCCTTTACAAGTCAGGCTAAACTTCAGGCAAAAATATCTGAAGTTTTGCTTTGATAAGGCTACACTTCAGGCAAAACATTCTGAAGTTCAAACTTCAGATATAAATTTTTGCTACTTCAGGCCCATATGCATGAAGTTACCCGAAAAGTGGGTATGCTTGTAATTTTTTTTGCAAAGCGGGTATAGGTTAAAATGTGATCCAAAAACTAGGTATAGATGCAAATTCTCCTTTTGGGCTTTAAATGCCAAATCTAGTATCTGCCTAAAATCCTGTCAATAATAATTATTAATAATGGTATATACATGCCAAATTTTCATTTTTCTATTATATACGGTGTTTAACGGAAAAATGATACAGTTGAATTTGTATCGTGGTTTATAGACACATGGATTAAAATGATCAGACTAAATAACGTAACGAAGAACACAACGATTAAAATAAGAACAGTTGAAGAAAATACAAGCATGAGCTTTAGAATATTTTCACCGGGATTGATAATAATTGGAAAACCTCGAATATGCTTATATGAAGCTTAAGAGAATGAGAGAAAAAATATTAGTCTTTTCTATTAGTATTTCTTGATGTCTTACAATAGAACGAAAGCCTCTATTTATATTAGAGCTCCGGGGTGCTTGATTAAAATTATGCCCCCTTAATTACTATTATAATAAAATATAATTAAAAGGTAATAAAGAATAATAAAGGGTAGTAAAGCCTAATAAAGGCTAGTAAAGGCCGGAAAAATCTTGTAACGTCTCTCTAACGGTCATATCTTGAATAACTTCTTATCCGGCCACAATTTGTATCCGATGTCACCATGGTTGAGTTACCACTGACCAGTCATACTTGACATGTGTTGCTTCCTAATTCATCCAACTTCCGAGACCGATTTTTACCGTATACATACGAGTATATTTAATTCAAGAACATGAGTTTAATATAATATGATTTAACTTATGAATTGATAAATGTAATTTGTAAAAAAACGAAAATATCAAATAATAAGAGACAAAGAGAGATGTTATTCTTAGCGTTTTCATTAAACTTTATCTATTATAATAAAAAATCATAAAGCTATTTTTTGTCATATTAAAATAACTAAATTTTACCACTGTAACAATAGAATAGTTATAAATATCATATGCTATAACAATCAGCCGCCCATTACAGTTAATGCTACTGCTATAATGGGAAAATTTTGATTTTATTGTTATAGGTAAAGTTTAATTAATTTAATGTGATAAAAATATATTTTTTTAATTTACTATTATAATGATTAAATTTAAATTATTTTAATATAAAAAAAAATAACTTTATAACTTCATTATTATATTAAATAACTTCACTGGCCATATGGCGAAATAACCCCAAAGACAGTAAGTAAAAACTTATTTTTACACGTGTTCTAAAAATTCAATAATCCTTGTGGAGTTGTGGTTAAACATGTACCTTCGTCGTTTTTTCGTTTGATTGAGGAATGTGTTGAAATCTACTTGTCATTAATTTTGCTCCGGTTATTTATTGTCCAGTTTGCATATCTCCCCTCTACTAGTACGTAGTTTTAGGACCCATTTCAGTTTTTTGTAGATCTTTTTCCGTAATTCAATGTTACATAAGGTTATAATTTTGAAAAGATAATATTCCTATAAAAGAAAAAAAACATTTTTTTTCCTGGAAATTCTTCCTTCAAAATTAAAAGCCTAATACCAACTCAATGGTAACATCAAGTTCTCGTTGGGTCTTACGATTATGATACAACCCAGGAGAACCATACCCCAAGGCTATATAAACCTTAACAAACCACCACGCTTCGCATCCGTCGTCCCAAACGGCTGTGCGCTAGACTTTTCTAGTCCCGGGCGAACACTGCAATATCGGCGTCACCATCCATGGCACGGTGGACATGGAGGGCGGTGAGTGGCTCTGATACCATTAATACAACCCAGAGAGAACCACACCCCAAAAGCTAGGTATTAAGGTGGGAGAGCCCAAGGCTATATAAACCCCACATTACGATACCGATGTGAGACTCAAGTCTCATACCTTGCAATGTACCATAACAAATTACCATATCGAACTTGACATGACCTGAATCGAGAAGCGAACCTATAATTAATTTTAGGGAATATGATCAATTTTGTCCAAATGCCGTCCATTTAAATGGAATAACTTTACCCTTTGTTTCGTATTTAGTATAAAAATGCACTCACCTTTCATCAAGTAGCTCAAAATTGCGCTACCCGCTGGCGGTTTGCTCCAATTAGGATTGAAAAGGGTCAATTTGCCCCTAAACTACTCGAAATGAGACAATTCTTTTTTCTACTCCCTACCGTTCATGGACAGAATTGTCGCAAGCAATGTTAGGCGACACTAGAGAGTCTTAACTAATAGCACAAGTCATATTCCCCATTCAGTGAACATTTTCCCTGAAAAAAATACATTTACATCACTTTTACGCAACCAAAAAACGAATATTATTATATCAAGGAAAATGCTTTTTTGCAAAATATCTTACTCTAGAGCAAACACAAGTAATTGCATTTCATGTACTACAGGTTGAACCCTCCTTATTTGGTCAAAGTGATTTCTTCATACTTCATGTATAGTTCTCTCGAATGAATATTACACACGTATGCATCGAAAGAATAACCAAATGAAAAAGATAATTTAAACATGCAACGTGAAGCAAGAATAAAATTGTTCTACAGAGGTCAGTCTCAAACAAATGTGGTGCTCACCAAACAGATGTTTTCTAGCTGCACTTTAATGACTATGGTCTACTCTTTCTATAGTTATTAAATTAAATAAAAGGATTAATAATGGATTATCTGCTGCGCAAACTAGTTTATACAAAATGTATCATTTCCATTTTTTTAGTTGGCTCCGATCACACAAGCAAAACTACCAAAAAGATAAAGAATGTTTTTATTACTTCAGCATAGAGACAGCTTAAGATTGAAACCACCCAGTGTATTTTTAGGTATCTCTTCAATGGATCAAGTCTATGAGCTCAGCACAACTTCAGTTAGATTTGCATATAGCCTTCCACCGTAAGAATTTAAAATGGAGATTCTCAATCCTTTGCCATCTACAAGATCTGCCCCAGATCCCCTGTAAATATCCTGACTATTTGACCTACGTTGATCCTCCTTCAAGTAGTGGGGAAGCAAATGTTGTGCTCAATTTTCATCGTCTGACACGATCGATGCTGATCTATGTTGCTCGGACACTCCGAAAATGTCGTTCGGTGCGTGTCGGATCATTCAAAAGTAGTGTATTTTAGGAGGATCTGACACGGGTGCGGCAGTATTTTGGAGGGTTCGTGCAACATAGATGCTGATCACACTGGGTGCTATCATGGTAGCAAGAGAAGTCACACGGTGACGGTTCATTTACCAATACCCGTCATTCTTCTGGACTTGTATAGGCTGCACCAATTAAAATATATTTGTATGGTTCAGCTTAAACTCTTGCAAAAAGGAAATAACACATTAGTAGCAAGAAGACATTCTACCTTGATAGGGAAATTCACAATTCAATCTGTGGGGAACCTTTGGGATAGGATGGCTCTCTTGTCCCCTCTTTTTCCAAAATGGCATTTCAAATCCTATGATGCTGTATTTTGATGAGGCCAGTTTTTTTACCTGAGAATCTGCAAGAGAAGCTCCTATTCGACCTCAATACCTACTTCATAGCACATAAGAATGAAAATAATTTAGATAGTCATTTGTCCAACTTCTGAAAATTTTGGTTGAAACAAGACAAGAAGTTGACGAATAAGAGGACACTTCAAAGAAGAAATTGAATGCCACAAACTTATGACTGGGTTTCCAAGTAGATAAAGTACTGATATACCATCTGTCTATATTCTCTATCTTTCTACAGGCTGGTCTCAATTAAGCTATAACCCAACTCTTTCTTCAAATTCTTCTCATCCATGAGTTGCCTCAGCTCTTCTACCTCTTTCCATCTGCCCTGCTCTGCATATAAGTTAGACAGAATCACAAAATAGCTTGTATTCTCTGGGTCTAAAGCAATGAGCCTTTTGGCAACAATTTCAGAGATTTCAGTAGATACACGAGTCTTTCTACAGCCAGCAAGCAGAGTTCCCCATATCCGCTTATCAGGCTCGATGGGCATGTTGTTGACGAATTCAAGAGCTTCTTCTATATTGCCTTGACGACTAAGCATATCAACCATGCACGCATAATGTGCAAGTTTCGGAGTAACATCGAATCTCTCTTCCATTGCATAAAACCAGTTCCACCCCTCATATTCAAGATCACAATGACTGCATGCAGATAGAACAGAAATGAAAACAACATCATTTGGTTTTATCCCAGAGTTCAACATGTCTAAGAAACACTCAAGAGCCTTATTTCCATGCCCATTAATGCCATACCCATTTATCATTGAGCTCCAGCAAATAAGATCTTTGTTAGGAAATTCACTGAAAATAGCCGTTCCTTGGCTTATGCGTCCGAATTTGCAATACATGTCAATAAGCGAAGATATCAAAAAGGGATTGGATATATTTACAATTTTAATCACTTGTGCATGTATACCTTCTCCAATCTCTTCAGCAGCCATCGAAGAACAAGCCTGTAATAGACTAACATAGATGATCTCGTTAGGCTTCTCATTTGCTGATTGCATCTGCCAATATATATCAAAAGCATTACTAGGCAGCTCACTTTGGGCATATGCCGCAATCATTGTACTCCAGGCAATAAGATCTCTTGGTTTCAGGCGATCAAACAGACTCCTGGCTGATTCAATCTCACATAAATCACCATACATGTGAAGAAGAGCAGTCACTACCGAAACACATCTCAAATATCCCTGCTTGAGCACAAGGCTGTGAAAACACTGTCCAATTTTTATCTCATCCAATTCTGACAATGCTCCAATAACTTCACGAATAACACTATCATCCGGTTCAAAGCAACAATACCTCATCTGAGAGAACAGACTCAAAGCTTCATTGAAACGATCATTTTCTACGCATCCATGAATCATAGTCCTCCATGAAACAAGATCCTTCTTCTCTATTCCACGAAAAACAGCAACGGATGCCTTCAAACTCCCGCATTTAGCATACATATCCACAAGAGAATTCTGGATATTAACATGAGAAATAAATGAAATTTTCATCGAATAAGCATGAATTTCTTTTCCAACTTTCAAAGCACCAAGATTTGCACAAGCAGGCACAATACCCACAATGCTAATATAATTTGGTTCCACGCTAGAGGATAGCATTTTCCTGAAAAGTTCAATAGCATCAACATACTCTCCACTCTTGACACAAGCTGAAACCATTGCGCTCCACAAAATTACATCCTTGTACCTTGTGCGATTAAATAATTTCAATGCAGCATCCATATTCCAAGTAGAGTAAACACCAACAAGAGCCGTCACAATGGGTAGTTCCAATTCAAAACCCAATTTGATTGCAAACCCGTGAACACATCGTGCTGTAGACTCCAAATTTTCAGCAGCTCTTATAACGCTTAAAACTGTCACGTAATTGGGTTTGTGTTCGTTTCTTAGCATTGTTTTGAACAAGTTGATTGCTTCTATGGATTGGTTTTCCCTCACCAAATTTGATATTTTTGATGTCCATGATCTCACATTTTGTTTTTCAGCAAACTTAATTGGGTCCACAAAAAAGGACCTTTCACGAACATTTAATGAAATTCCAGACGAGTAACGTCTCTTTGACATTTTAGCAAACAGCTTGTATGAATTTTCACCAATTGATTTCATATACCATTCGACTACAAATCTGGTAGCCAAAAAAGAGCTCATACGACTTGGATACTATTGGTTATACCCATATTGCTCGATGCAAAAGAAAGGGATAGGAGCAGATTGCGATAGCAGGTCAAGCTGAATCTATTGTGAGCAACCTCTGCTTTGGGTTCCTGAAGGAAAAAAAAATGTTTTGGTCCTTTTGATGTTATAACTAAGTGCAGTTTTATCCCTTAATTATTCCTAGTAACCCTTTTAGTCCCGGGACTATTCTGTAAGAGGTCGTTTGGTAGAAAATAATGCATGCATTATATTTTGTGTATTAGTAATATCTTATTTGGTACACTTTTTCAATATATGTATAACTCATACAAGTATCAGTTATACATCTTATTATCCTATATATAACTAATGCACAACAAATCATGATATTAGTAATACCAAGGCTATTAATGCATGCATTAGCATGATTAAAGACAAAATTGTCCTTAAAGTCCCTTAAAACTAAAGAATATAGAGGGCATTTTTGTAAACAACTAATTTTTTTTTAAAAAAATAAGCAATGCATTTTAATTTTTAATACACCACACCAAACAGTGTATAAAAAATAATCTATGCATTACTAATCCCTGCATTACTAATATATTATATTCAACATTATTCTTATACACCCTACCAAATGACCCCTAACGGTGACTCTCTAGCCGTTTGATTTGAAATTAGAGTAATTTTCATAAACCACTATTGTTTAGTGGCTATTAACTTCTTATATCAACCATATACATAATTACTTCTTATAGCTACTATTTAGTTATTACGCCTTTTCTCTTTGTTGGGTTGTCTCTCTTGCAGCCAAATCAATATTATCATCATCTTCCGCCATAATTTCTTTGGTTGATGATTGCCCAACCTTCTCTGTATTCTCGGGGAGATCTCTTTCCCTCCTCAGCTGCCGTGAGTTTGATTTATTTCACTTTTTTGGACTATTTTGTAATCCACTCGTGTTGCCCTATTGTGCTAATGATTTATTGAGTTTGGAAGGATGAAGGGCGTGCGACTGTATACGATGTATTCTCGCTACCATATTCATAAATACAGTAGTGGAATTCGCCTAAAAAATAGGGGAGTCTAGCTGTGCGACTGTATTCGCGCTACTGTATTCATGAATACAATAGCGGGATTCGCCTAAAAAATAGGGGAATGTAGCTGTTTAATAACGGAAAGAGGATCAATTAGCGTGTATCACTCCTAAATTAACTCAACAAAATCAATTCTACATATATTTCGCTGCTACCGTGTTGTATTCCATGTATTCGCGCGATTGTATTTATATAAATACAGTGAGGTAATCAAGAAATATGGTGTATACCGTTCTATTCAGTTCGACTGTATACATTGTATTTAATTCACAGATATTCATTATTCAATATTATACATTGTGTTCAATTCACCGTATTCAATTCGACTGTATTCAAACAACAAAAATCACAAAATACAGTGATATTCGGTTGTATTTAAAAAATACAGACCTATGAAATACATAAATATAATGCATTTGAGTGTTTGTACAGAATACGATGTATTTGTATTATTGTATGTGGCTAAAAAATAAAGAAGAGAAAAAAGTTGGCCGAAGATGGCGTTTTCCACCAAGCAAAATACTTAAAACTAAAAATAGAGACGAACAAAAATCAGGTCCTCAAATCTTCTCCGCCGTAGCCATAGCCAAATTTGTTCGCCTATGAAGATGAGCCAATAGTGGATGATGACGCCGACGATTCTGCCGATTTGATGGAGAAGAGAGAGGATTGAGAATCTTGTTGATAGAGAGAGAAGGAAGAGAGAGAGAGAGAGAGAGAGAGAGAAAGAATATAATTGGCTTATTTCATGCCTCAATGCATGAGCAGAATCCTCAGAATCGTATGATTCAGATACTTAACGAAATGAACGGATAAAAGATCGGGATAGCCGGGATGACCTATTTCAAGATCAGATGATCCACCCACCGGGCAGGTTTCGGACACTATATATCATGTGTAGGTATAAATAAAATACCTATTTTGTTATAAAATAGAAAAGGTAGCTATAAGTAATAATATTTTTAAAAAAATTAGATTTATAATAAATATGGTGTAATAATTTGCTATAGGTATAGTTGGTAAAATTTCCTTGAAAATATCACCTAATTAGTATTACCATGTATTACAGTATTAAAACAAAATGGAGTGCGTAAAAAAGAAAAGAAAAAAAACAAGAGTTTGTGGGCGTTTGCGTTAGTGTATGTACTATATATATATACTGAACACTATGTATAGAACACTCAAATCGAACACATTTACACATTCTCTTCTCTTTCTTTAGTTTGCTATTCTCAATTGTAATTTATTCGATTTATTTATTTATGAGATTGAGTTTTGATTATGTGTTGATATTCAATTTAATATATCGAGTAAAAATATTTTATCATAATCTATAAAATTCATCTGGTGTGAAATATGAGGCCGAACCATTACATGTTGTAGCAGTAAATTAAAGAACGTTAACAAGAGCGTTCTACTATGTTGCAGAACCTTATAAGTACAAGATTTGTATCACCTGATGATGCCATACCATGTAGTAGGGTATTGCTGCCAACTGTTCAAAATCAAATTTATATGCCAACTGAGATAATTAGTTCCGGTTACGTCTCGATCTTAATTTCCCGTATGCATATAAAATATGCATAAATTGGTATATCTGCGAATGCATGCCTCCATAGACTATAATATTGTAAATCTTGTAAGAGAATTAAATCACGATTGCATCAATTTCGAGATGATTTTTCATCTTCCATGCATTTCAACTGAACTATCATCACTGCAGTCAGAGGCACATTCATCATATAACCCGTGGATGCAAGTGCAACCACCACCTTATAATCGAATTATATACATTTTAATATTATTATGTATATAGAAAATATACTAACCATCATATAAGTTGGACGTGAACTCATGCCTCGAACTCGAATTTATATTTAAAGGTGCACCCGTGCGCTATCTTCAAATCTTACATCCACTATATACCTCGCGTAGTGTTAGCACTGTGATTTTGATATTCTGGTTATTATTTGTGGAGTATCATGGCTTTTAGTCGGGATATTGAAAACTTTTGTGGCTGCCTCCTTGAGGGACCAAATATGTCTGCCACAATACCTAATATTGCTTATTTGAGAAAGAAAAGGAGGAATTTTCAGAAACCATGGCTAAGAATTGAACATTTATTTGGTCCCTACAACTAAGGGATTAACAAAAAATTAATCATTAGCTTCCTTTCTTACATTGGCCGTATATCATAGTTAAAACCATAAGATTTTAACTTATTTCCTATCATACAAAATTGTTATAACAGCTTCCCTTTGGTAGGAATGTAAAGAAGGGAATGGGGAGGGTATTCAAATATTTAGCACAATCATTTGTCTCTTTTCTTTCCTACATCAAGGTTAATTACACTTGCCTCTAGAATGGTGGATGGCACTAAAATTTTCTCAGAGCTTCTAGTTTAGCATTATAGATATATTCTAGTTCCTCAAATTATGCACGTCCTTTGCAATTCTACATGTAGTTAAATTTGTTCCTTGATCTTCTTATGATTTCAAGAAAATATCGATGTATATTTATCCCTTTCATAGTTTAGTGCTGGATCAATCTAATTGTTCTAGATGTTTCTGTCACACCTCCTTTTTCCGATGGATAGGGGATTTTTTCCAATTAAAGTGACATTAATCGAAATGAGATTATTTATTTAATTAGAGTCGCCACTTGGGATATTTGTTATGGTGTCCCAAGTCACCGGTTTATTTTAAAATCCCAAATCGAGAAAATTGACTCTTATTTATGGTCTGCGAACACAGAAGACCTGGTAAGGAATTCTGTTAATCCGGGAGAAGGTGTTAGGCATTCTCGGATTACGTGGTTTTAGCACGGTCGCTTTAATCATACCTGGCTTAATTAATTATTTAATTACCTATTTTTAGAACCTATGTGTGTTTACCTTTTACCACTTTTAATTATGGCGTTTTATGGCTTTATCTTTGAGACGGATCACATGTGCGTGAATCTGTTTTATTTGGGGCGTTAAAATCATGTCACGCGTACGTGTACATAATTTATCACGTTTTATTAATTTATGAAGATTTTTTTTGGCCAAAGTCACGTGAACGCATACTTTGATTTATTTGAGAAAATCATGATTATGTCACGCGAACGTGTACACAATCACGATATTTTAATTAAAAGCGTGCATAAAGCACTCTAACGGTGTTCATTACTCTTCCTAAGCTTTGAGATTATTGTAATATCATGATTTATGGAGTAGTGGTGAAAAAATATAATAAATTAGTTATGGAAATGTGGGCTAGCTTTTATTATTGGTGTTTGACCCAAGTAGTAACTAAAAAAAAATCTTATGCATCTACATAGAGTAGACCAACTATTTTATGAAATGGGCCATCAAGATTTTCCTCAATTGAGCCCAATGCCCTCTTGCAAAATTTCAAGAATAATCTTCACATTCCAAATTGAATTTAAATCTAATTAATCATACAAATCAACTTGACCACTGCAATATCTAACAATTATTCCAAATGAAACACTAGACTATCACGAACCATTCTATAAACAAAGACAATAAAATCACACACAAAACATCCAACATTCAAAGCGAACCAGAATATTGTTTGGAATCGGAAAAGTAGAGAGGAAAAGAAATGGACCTCTTTGAATTCTTTTTTTTGTTTTGTTTTGTTTTTGTATTTCTAAGAACCTTCAAACCCAGCTTTGTTCATAAATAATTGTTGATCAGCTAGCAAAATGAAACCCAGCGACAACACTAAAACGCCAAATAGAAAACTCGATCCGAAGACCTCAACATGGACCTCAACTTTGACTCGATTTAGCGAACTTTGTTGTTTATTAGGATACTTCAAGGGTATTTTTAGGCTTGAATTTGGGACATTTTCGAGTCTTAAACGGGGTGATAAATTGCTGGATTTTTCGAAAGAAAGAGAAAGAAAGAATGACACGAGTAGAAATCCCTTAGCGTATAAGAAGAAAAATAAAATTCTCTCAATTCCCCCCTCTCTCTTTTTTCCCCTCCTCTTCTCTCATTTTTCACTTCTATTTATAGAAAAAAATTCGAAATTTTTCAGATTTTGTTTTAATTATTTTATTATTATTTTTTAATTAAAAATATTCCCACTTCCCATTTTTCTTTTTTTCTTTTTTAAAAATAATAATAAATTCTCCACTTTCCTTTACTTTTATTTTTTAATTTCCCAATTTTTTTTACTTTTCTTTTTTTTCCACTTATTTTACTTTTTTTTTTAATTTCTACTTTCTTTTATTTTTTTTTAAAACTTTTCACATACCTTTACTTTTATTTTTTAATTTCCCAATTTTTTTTACTTTTCTTTTTTTTCCACTTATTTTACTTTTTTTTTTAATTTCTACTTTCTTTTATTTTTTTTTAAAACTTTTCACATACCTTTACTTTTATTTTTTAAAACTTTTCACCTACCTTTACTTTTATTTTTTAATTCTAACTTTCTTTTACTTTTTATTTTTTTAAATTTCCACATTATTTTACTTTTTAAAAAAAATAATTTTCACCTACTTTTACTTTTACTTTTTAATTCCATACTTCTACTTTTCCTATTTTTAATTCACATCCGAAATTTAAAAAATATTTAATTTTTTTAGATTTTTAAATTTATTTAATTTTAAAATAAGGAAAATAAAAATAAAAATAATATTAATAGTAATAATTGACCTTTTAAAATATTTTTAATTTTTTTACCCTATATATAAAAATAAAAATAAAAAAATCTAACAAAGCTAAAACGTTATTTGGTTCAAAGATAAGTTACTTATCTTTCATTATTTGTTTTAGCTTTGTTTGGGTAATCATTATTTTAGCTTTGTGACAGAAAAGATAAAACTTTGTAGTATAGGATAATTATTTTAAACTAATGTAGAATTAATATATTTTTTTATCGAAACTCATTTAGATTATGGATCAAATCACATTAAAGGATAAATGGATCTAAAATGGGTATGACCCATATTAGCTTATGTGGCATTTGTTTTTGGATTTTTATCATAAAATTTAATGCCATGTCATATTTATGGTAGGGGTTTGAGGCAAAATGACTTTTAGGTGACAATGATAAAGTTTAGTTAGTTTTAAGTGACAAAAAATAGTTAAATAACTTTAGTAAAATTGAAAGATAGTTCAATGACCATCAGTGAAATTAACGCGGCTAAATTTGGGCAAATTAAAATGGATTAAATCAATTTATACATTTTGAGCAACTAAAATATCAAGATACTAGTATGTGTAAACGGACTAAAGGCCGTATCCTTTCAAATTTATATTTCCACTCTCTTTTTTTCCGGTTAATTCCTATCTTCTTTCCTAAATATAAAATCAAACACATAAAGTCGAACGCAATAAATCAAACACTATGCGAATTAAATTAGATATGTTCGTCGTTAATAGTTTGGCACAAATATGCTCAATCCGTCCAATACTTGCTCATTCATGCTCTTAGTTTAACGGAACCATTATTTTGTCTTTCTTAAATAATTAATAATCGGACCCAATCAAAATCTACTTACCCGATCCATTAGGACCCGACCCACCCTTATTTCAAAGATATTTTTTGATATATTATTTTTGTTTGATTGAGAAATTGTGTGATAATCATATTTATTTATTTGAGTAATTTGATAATCGATTTTTTTTTGGTTATACATCATTTCGGAAAGTAATCCTAATAAAAATAGTAATTGATATTTATTTATTATTTTAATAATATAATATTCGAATTAGTTTGTGCTTTCTTCAATCATTTTATCATCTATTTTTATTTTTCTCAGTAGTGTTTGTTATGAAATAATTAATTAATAAAAATAAAAAAGAAGCACCACTGTTTTAATAGTGGTGCTTGATATGAAATAATATTTGTTATGAAATAATTAATTAATAAAAATGGAAAAGAAGCACCACTGTATTAACAATTTATTACTTATTTCATAACAAATTTGTAATGCAGAAATAATCCAATAAACTTATAATCAATCATATAATGATCATTTATCTAAACAAAAAAACGGACCCATCAGGTTAAGTTATAGTGAACATGGAGTTATTTCTATTGGTGAAAAATACAAATAGATTATGAGAAAAATAAAAATAGATGGTAAAATAATTAAAGAAAGCACAAACTAATTCGAATATTATATTATTAAAATAATAAAAAAATATCAATTACTACTTTTAGTAGGATTACTTCCCGAAATGATGTATAACAAAAAAAAAATCGATTATCAAATTACTCAAATAAATAAATATTGATTATCACACAATTTCTCAATCAAACAAAAATAATATATTAAAAAATATCTTTGAAATAAGGGTGGGTCGGGTCCTAACGAATCGGGTCTGCAAAATTTGGTTGGGTCCGGTTATTAATTATTCAAAAAAGACAAAATAGTGGTTCCGTTAAACTAAGGGCATGAATGAGCAAGTATTTGACGGATTGGGCATATTTCTGCCAAACTATTAACAACGGGCATATCTGTCATAATTCGTATAGTTCACTGGCATATATGGCCATTTTCCGTATTTTCTGTGGGTCAATTAGGTGGATTTAGGAGTTTTCTTCTGTCATTGGATACTTAGTTCCAACGGGACAACAACAATAACAACAACCCAGTACAATCCCACTAGTGGGGTATGGGGAGGGTAGTGTGTACGCAGACCTTATCCCTACCTTGAGATAGAGAGGTTGTTTTCGATAGACCCTCGGTTCCCTCCCTCCAAGTACTCCCCACCTTACTCTTGGGGTGACTCGAATTCGCAACCTCTTAGTTGGAAGTGGAGGGTGCTCACCATCAAAGCAACCCACTCAGACGGGATACACGGATGTAATTATTGTTAATTTGTGTATATTGGCTAGTTGCTTAAAGCTATAAAAGATTTCACTGGGTTTTGAAGTTTAACTACTAAGATTCGGAAGGGGATTCCATTAAGAAAATATTTTATTTTAGAAGGGCAAAAAGGAGATTTACGCAAAAGTATAGCCCAACACACTACATTGCACCTATGTAGCTATATTTTTAAGTTTAAGCCGCATACCTATTAATTTTTTGCACCAGTGTTTATACACCAGATACTATTCACTGGTGCAATACCCCACTTTGTTTACCCTAAAACGGATAACAATTGAATTTATACACGGTTTTAAAAATACGTGATATAATTTGGCACAATTTGAGAAATATATATATATATATTAAAATTGACTGTGAAAGAAACAAATGCAAACCAAACGAATCAAATAGCCTTGGCCCTCAGGTTCGATCACCCTCAAACCAAGTGAAGATTCAACTGATATAAGAACAGAGTAGCAAGATATTGGAAATTAGAAGAAGGCAATATATTGCTTTGTATTGAGTGAATATGATGAGTCTTACGAATGATTAGACCTCATTTATATAATAGGAGAGCCCTACTCTTGATACAATCTAAATACAGTAAGGAATCTCATGATAGGCTAATTAATCGGCCTCTTCTAAATACAGTAAGGAATCTCATGTCGGGATTTCCGCCGCGATCCTCGCCCGATTGCGGATATTTCGGCTTTCCGTTGTTTGGCTCGGTAAGCTTCTCTTGGTCTCGTTCGATCTCTATCTTACTCGGTCTCGATCTTGCTCGATCTCTGGGTCACGAGCTCGGCAATCTAACTTCGCACCATGGTTCGATATAACACGGGTTTGAACCTTGCCTTATCATGTTCTAGTCTCGATCAGTCATACGAGGGGCAAGCCCAGTTTTGACCGTATAAACACTTATAATAGTTGAAATAAGAGAAAAGAATATAGGCTAAAATTGATTCGGAAAATACCCCACTTATACTTCCCGGAAATTATTTAAAAAAAGAATATGAAAGTGAGATCCGTTCAGAATGCAGTTAAAGTTTTAAAACGGTTTCTAAACCGCCAAATTGCCCTCACACTACTTATGTCATCAGCCATTTCCTGAACAAAACTACATGTTCTCTTCTTAACCATCTCTAGTTCTGTTCCACAATGTCGCCAACTGAGATTCAACTGGCAGGCCCTTCTTTTCCAATTACACCAACTGCGCTCAACGGCACCAACAGATTAGAATGTGTCGCGAATCAAAACGTTCCTCCAAAGAAAAGCCCTAAAGTTAGCAACTTGGAATTTCGTCCTCTAGTTCCTTGGTCCACTGGTCTATTCGACTGCTGTCAAGATGTACACACTTGTAAGTTGATAGTAAAACTTATTTAAGAAGCGCATGCATTTTACTTTTTACGTTTTACGCTTTAATTTGTCCTTTCAACATTAAACAAAAATGGGAGTTTTTTTTCCATCTTATTTTGAAATATGTTTGTTTTCATAGGTTGCTTAACATGCTGCTGCCCGTGTATCACATTTGGCCGCATAGCAGAGATTGTTGACAGAGGATCAACTTGTACGTTTCAAATGAGACGTGTATATATTTCTTTATTCCCTAAATATGCAAACCAATTTCAGAAAATATGATTGATGAAACATTTTTTGTGTTTGGTTAAACTAATGCAGCATGTGGGGTAAGTGGTGCACTCTACTTACTAATTCTGTGCGTGACGGGGTGCTCGTGTTTGTACTCATGCTTCTATCGTTCCAAATTAAGAGGACAATATTTCTTGGACGAAATCCCTTGCACCGATTTCTGCAGCCATTGTTGTTGCGAGACATGTGCATTGTGTCAAGAGTACAGAGAACTTAAAAACCAAGGCTTCGACATGTCCGCAGGTCTCTTCTATCTCCTCTTTTATTTGAGAATGTTATTTGTTATAAACAAAAGTAGATAATACTTAAAAGCAAGATAGATTCATCCCATAATTACTGCTAGAAGTTGCTCCAAATTTGGAGTTGTTCTTCTAATTTGTTATTACACGGATCTAACCTGACATTTAATTGGATAGGTTGGTATGGAAACATGCAAAGGTGTAAAAGAAGAGATGTGTTGCCTCCATCAGTTCAAACTGGAATGAAGCGATAGGTCGAAGTACCATCATGTTGCTCCAGTTTGTTTCCTTGCAACAAGAAATAGCTGAATTGTTGAATTGAATTTTATAGTTTTATTTGTTTGCAAGTCTTTTTTCTATTTCTTCAATTGGCACTAAATGTCGAGTCTGTTTGCTGTGAATCCCCTCGCTTGCCCTTTATGCAAAACAATGGCAACTTAAACATATATATATAGTTTAATACCTAAAACAATCAGAAAGTATTAATACTGATTTCATTTTTGTGGCTAGAGCTGCCTAATAAAAGGAAATAGGACATAAGGAAACATATTTCATGGTGAAGCTTAGTATTGACCTTCAATTCTTCAGTTTCTGAGTTACTGAGCTCTGTCACACTAACAATACATGTTTTCCTTGACAGATCAAGATGTTTTTCTTTTTCAGGTTCAAAAGTGTAGCATAAAATAATACATGAGATAGTCCTTCTATAATACATTATACATATAGTATTCTGAAATATCTTAGACAAATAACAACTCATGTTACTCTCCAAGTGAACAGATCTGCTTATGTGCACCTAAGAATGGAAATTACATGTTTACACGCATATAAGATAACCCTTTAGTATCTTTGTCATTTGTGAAACATAGATAGGTGAAGTTTGTCCCTGTGCATCTCTCTTATAAGGCTAATGTAAGAAATCTAGGGGTCAGGGACTCTATATCCTTGAAATTCAGAACCAACGACTAACCATTTTTAATATTTGTGTTGATAAGTTGAACTGTTGATTGACCATGAATTCAAACATGTCTTGCTTGTTGCTGCAACAAGCACCAGAAACTTAAGATTAAAATTTAAAAGCTATCAATACTTTGAATTGACTTTCACTAGATATGCAAAGTCACCCTTCAAGCACAGGAACATCTATTATATCATTGCCAATCAGTTGGGAACATACTTTTTAATTGAGGCTGAAAAAAGGCTGCCACAGTTGTCACGTCCCCTCGCATAATATATTCCACCAAATGGAAGTTAAAAGTTGAATTATGTGTGTTGCATGCATGTATGTATGCATCAGAAAAAAATTTAGCTACTAGAAAGAAACTCTTTTTATGAAATTATCTTTAATGAGGAGTTACTTGTCCTTCTAAAGGTTTGATTAACCCAAAGGAACATCTTTAGCTTCTTTTAGAAAATGATTCCTGAATCCCAAACACCATTGCAACTTCCTGTTTTGGACATTTCCCAACCATTAAACTCATCTACTCTATCTTCTCTTGCTGCTGCCTGCAAAGAATGGGGCTTCTTTCATGTTACTAATCATGGAATTTCCAATGATCTTTACACAAAAATTCATTGCCTCTCCAAACACCTCTTCAACCTCCCTTCTGAGATCAAAGTAAAAGCAGGTCCTTCCTCATCTCTGAAAACTTATACTCCTCATTTCATAGCATCTCCCTTCTTTGAAAGCCTTAAAGTATCTGGACCGGACTTCTTTGACTCGGCTAAGGGTTCTTCAGATACCCTTAAAGCTGAAAACAATTCAGAATTCAGGTAATGCTCTTTTAGAACATTCAACTTCTCTTTTCTTTAATGTCCCTAAAGTTGATATTGTTTTCTGATAAATGGTATTCCTTGTTAGTGAAATACTGCAAGATTATGGAAGCAAAATGACAGAGTTAGCAAAAGTCATTCAGAAAACTGTATTGATGAGCTTGGGAGAAGAAGTTGGAATGAAGTGTTATATATCTGAATTTGGTAATTGCCATGGTTACTTGAGGATAAATAACTACTCGCCCCCGGATAGTTTAGAAAAGGAGGTTGAAGGTCTTGGTATGCACACTGATATGAGCTGCATAACAATTGTCTATCAAGATGAATTAGGTGGACTTCAAGTAAGATCAAAGGATGGGCAGTGGGTGGATATTATGCCATGTGAAGGAACTCTTGTGGTAAATATTGGTGACATGCTACAAGCTTGGAGCAATGACAAGCTAAGATCCTCTGAACATCGTGTCGTTTTGAAGAAGCCGATTAATCGCTTCTCGTTGGCTTTCTTTTGGTGTTTTGAGGATGAGAAGGTGATCTTAGCACCTGATGAAGTAGTTGGTAAAGAAAATTCAAGAATCTACAAGCCATTTGTTTGCTCTGACTATTTAAAGTTTAGAGTGAACAATGAAAAAGGTAAATTTGAGAAAGTTGGTTTCACAGTTAAAGATTTTGCTGGGATTGGATCTAAGTAAAAGTTAGAAGCATGGTTGTCATTCTTTTAGCAGTAAGATTATAAGCTTGTACATCTCCTCATGTTCCATTATTGCAACATAGGTATCTAGGAGTTCTGTTTGTGTGAAAGTTTGTCATATAATATTGTGGTTTGCTATTTGATGATATTGTTTGCAAGTTATTTGTAAGTGTATTCATTGAATGATAGGAAGATGTATCAAGAAAGGCTTTGACCTGACTTAATTAGCAACTGAATGCATGTACAGTTGGAAGTCCAACTTCCAACTCATGTCTATATTAAAATTCTATGTTTGCCCACTTGGCATGTTTGGGTTTATTAATTATCAACGTATGCAAAGGGCATATTCTAGAACCAAACATTTATTATCAGTTAATTCATTATTTTCTGAATTCTAAATAATTGTTCCTGATTAGGAATGCTCAAATCATTCTCTCATGGAGATCCAGAAGAGTAAGCGAATCCTACCTAAAGAACATCTTTTTGCTGATAGGATATAAAGAATGGATAAATCATCTTTCAAAAGATTACATGACCAAAAGTTGGTTGTCATTCAACAATTTAGAACTTTGTCCTCTAGTGCATGGGCGGATTTATAGAATAGTTTATGGATTTATTTTCGTCAAACTAGTTATTTTATGTATGTATTTTCTAGAATTAGTCTAATCACCCGTTAACACTCGTACTTCACAAAAGACGAAATGGTGCCTTTAATTGAATAATGAATTATTTACTCAAAGCATCCCTACTTTAAGCATAATGTTGATATGCACCAGAATAAGGAATCTTTAATGCAACTTAGAAAAAAACCTATAATGTTTTGTCCTCTAGTAGTAAATTATATTAAGCATAATGTGATATGCACCGGAATAAAGAATAGTTTGTGTTAGTAGAACTATTGATGCCTTTGAATAAAGAATAGTTTGTGTTAGTAGAACTATTGATGCCTTTGAATAAAGAATAGTTTGTGTTAGTAGAACTATTGATGCCTTTGAATAAAGAATAGTTTGTGTTAGTAGAACTATTGATGCCTTTGAATAAAGAATAGTTTGTGTTAGTAGAACTATTGATGCCTTTGAATAAAGAATAGTTTGTGTTAGTAGAACTATTGATGCCTTTGAATAAAGAATAGTTTGTGTTAGTAGAACTATTGATGCCTTTGAATAAAGAATAGTTTGTGTTAGTAGAACTATTGATGCCTTTGAATAAAGAATAGTTTGTGTTAGTAGAACTATTGATGCCTTTGAATAAAGAATAGTTTGTGTTAGTAGAACTATTGATGCCTTTGAATAAAGAATAGTTTGTGTTAGTAGAACTATTGATGCCTTTGAATACATTCTGGTTAAGTCATATCATATGCTTTAATGGTGGGTTTAACTATACGGATTCAACAAATCATCAGCGGGGTCTTGAAAACAAAAGTGAACTTTGCTTTTCTTAATACTACCATTTTTGCTAACAAGATATAATTTCATTAATAAAGAACCCATAAAGTTGTATACTGTTAGTTATGGTGACCATATTAATTGTTAATAAAATACTCTAAATAGAAAGATCGATTTGTCACCAGTCAACTGTCCAAAAAGTTGCTTTAATCAAGTTTCTTTATTTTAATAGATGATGATGATTGTTTCCCACATGGGTTTGCTTAGGGATAGTAATTAATCAAATACAAAAAACATCATTGATTGGTTTCTTTCTTTCTTTGGCTGGATTTCTGTGGGCTTTACATTTTTTACTTTTTATGTTTTTTGGGATACATAAGCAACTATACCATAGATTTAGCAATCTGCTATACCATAGATTTAGCACTTTGTCAGATGTCGTTTTATTAAAAGGTCAAACTGAGTTGATAAAAATCCAAAAGATGAAATAGAATTCATACCTTATACTAAGAATGAACATCCAACTCAAAATCTTAAGACAGTCACTTGAGCAACTTGTAATTTTCGTAAATTCTTCTGGATACCTTTGTACACGTGATGTAGAACATCAGGCAGAAACCACTTAGTCACAAATTAGTATTAGTAGAGATGTTCGTAAAAAATCGAACCAAACCGAAACCGAATCAAACCGACCTAAAAAATCTATATTTTTTTAGGTTTGGTTTGGTTTGGTTTTGGTTTTGAATTTTAAAAATCGATCAAATTTGGTTTGGTTTGATTTTAATAAAAAAATAACCGAAAAAAACTGAACCAAACCGACTATAAAAGTAGCTATATATATATATATACTAAAGATATAAATGACTAATATGTATCATAAAATTTTTAGAAACTTTATATAAAAATATGCATACATACATACATATCTTTAGGTTTAGTTTGGTTTGGTTTTGGTTTTGAATTTTAAAAATCGATCAAATTTGGTTTGGTTTGATTTTAATNGTACGTTAAAAATATAGTCGCCGAAATATGCGTTTGGTAGTGTATGTCTCATTTTTAAGAAAAAACCCGATGAATAACCGAAAAAACCGAAAAACCGAATCAAACCGAATCGATAAAAAACCGACTTAATTGGTTTGGTTTGGTTTGGTTCCAATATTTAAAAAACCGACTTACTTAGTATGGTTTCTTTTTCAGAAAAAATCGACCCAAAGCGAATAATGAACACCCCTAATTAGTAGGAGAAATTGGAACGAAGACTAGGCAAAAAAGAGAAGGTATCTGATTTTAGAACTGCAGCTATACTTTGATGCAGTTTAAACCTCAGGGCTAAGATGTAGTTACTATACCAAGACATTTCGTATGAGCCATTTTTGGTTGTTAAATATCTTTTTTTATTTAAAAAAAAAGGTAAGGGAGTCAATGTCACGATCTGAAATTCTCACCTTTGGAACCATGTTGGTGCCTAACATTTTACTTGATAGGCAAGTCAACGTTAGAAAAATCTTAACCATTTTTAAACAAATCAACATAAGCGGAAGTCAATTACTGAAATGAAGTGCAGAAGCCCACAACTACCAAATCATCAAAATACATCCCCGAATCTGGTGCACAAGTACACGAGCTACTAGGATAATACAAATAATGGTCTGAATAAAATTCAAGATGTTCGAAAGATAATATACACCTAAGATAAGATAGAAGGGGGCTTCAGAACTGCGAACGATATGCAGTTATACCTCAAGTCTCCTCTGATTAGCTGAATCCGAGTAAGTCTATGGTACTTCATTAGAACCAACTCCAAAATCTGCACAAGAAGTATAGAGTATAGTATGAGTACAACCGACCCCATGTACTCCGTAAGTGTCGAGTCTAACCTCGACGAAGTAGTGACGAGGCTATGACAAGACGCGTACGTAAATAACTTGTACAGGTATATATAAATACGAAACAAATATAACACAATAAGTAACAATTTATAAATTTTGGGAGAAAACATGCGGAGGGGAATGATATAATAATTTCAGCATGAGAAGTATCACTTAGCATCCAATTAATTTATCAAAAATAAAATGAGCAACTGATAATATGAAAATGGCACGGCACCACCTTTTGTGCTTTTACTTTCATTCCTCCCATAAACTGATAAATAAATAATAATAATTGGCACGGCATCACCCTTCGTGCTTTAACTCTCTTTTGGCATGGCATCATCCTTCGTACTTTTACACTAAAAAATGGCACGGCATCACCCTTCGTGCTTTTACACTCAAAAATGGTACGACAACACCCTTCGTGCTTTTACTCTCTTTCTCACCATGACAATGATAGTATAAATAATAAAAATTTTATGAGTAATGATCAAATAATCAATAATGAACTCAAACAGGAATATCTTAATTAAATAAGCAATTATTCAAATTGAAATAAATTCCTCCAGCATGTTTTGACCCAACCACAATGCATAAATACTCGTCGCCACCTTCGTGCTTTTACTTTCATTCCTCCCATAAACTGATAAATAAATAAATAATAATAATAATAATAATAATAATAATAATAATAATAATAATAATAATAATAATAATAATAATAATAATAATAATAATAATTGGCACGACATCACCCTTCGTGCTTTAACTCTCTTTTGGCACGGCATTACCCTTCGTACTTTTACACTCTCTGAAAATGGCGCGGCAACACCCTTCGTGCTTTTACACTCAAAAATGACACGACAACACCCTTCGTATTTTTACTCTCTTTCTCACCATGACAATGATAGTATAAATAATAAAAATAGCATGGCATCGCCCTTCATGCTTTTACACTCTTTCTCACCATATTCAACAATAATTAAATCAATAAAAATTTCATGAGTAATGATCAAATAATCAATAATGAACTCAAACAGGAATATCTTAATTAAATAAGTAATTATTCAAATTGAAATAAATTCATCTAGCATGTTTTGACCCAACCACAACGCATAGGTACTTGTCACCTCACATATACGTTATACCCGCACATTAAATCACGTAAAAAATAGACAAATAAATCCCACTCCCTCAAGTCAAGGTTAACCACGACACTTACCTCGCTTTGCAACCAAATTCAAGATTTCAATAAACCTTTGCCTCGCAAATTCGTGTCCGAAATCCTCAAATCTAGTCGTAAATAATTCAATATACTCAATAAAAATCGTAGGAATTGATTCCATATAAATTTACTAATTTTTAGGATTAAAATCCGAAATTTATTTTAAAAATTAATAGTGGGACCCACGTCTCGAATCTCGAAAAAACTCACAAAATCTGAAAATCCGTTTCGAGACGAGTCCAACAATATAAAAATTATCAAATTCCGATGTCAAATGGACCTTCAAATCCTAAATTTTATTTTTGAAAAGTTTTTAAAAATTCCAATTTTTTTCTATCTAAATCCGAAAATATGATGAATATAGACATGGATTTATGAAATGAAATCACTGTATGATAAAGAACACTTGCCCAATTCGAAATCGTGAAAAACTTCTTCAAATCGTCCAAAAACCGAGGTTTTAAAACCCAAACGAAATGAAGAAAATGGCCATTTTTGACCTCTTAATGTTTTGCTCAGTCTGGCATTTGCAGGCAAAAGGTCGCATCTGCGGCCTCGCATTTGCGAGACAAGGGCCGCATTTGCGAAGCCAAGCAGGCAGGCGAGTTCCGCATTTGCAGAAAATGGGCCGCATTTGCGGCTGCGCAGAAGCGCAAGAAGGAGCCGCAGAAGCGACGAAATGCACATTTGCGATCGGCTAGCCACAGAAGCGATATCGCACGTGCGATCAAAGCTTCCTTCCCAGCCTCAACGT